CATACCCGAAAGCTGAGTGCCTAATAAAGTGAATTGGAGAGCATTTCTTACCACGGATAGGATTTACCATTACACTGGCAATTGCGCAATAAAATGTATTGGGTCAGTAAGGGTCAGCATAAAGAAATCAGTTTTTCTTTTACTAATGCTTGTGAGGGTAGCATGTGATGTTTGCCTCCTCCATCTCCATTACTGCTGTGGTATTCAAAGTTTAATACCAACGATATGCAAAACAAATTTGTGTACTTCCTAGCTTAACGGGTCGCATAAAACCTGGTCTCGGTTGAAAGCGATACACAGGATTTTGTGGATTGTGAAGAGAGAACACGCACAACAAACTAGGTACTGGTCAACTCTCTGATAGAAGGAGTGAGTGGGCGAATATCTTGGCAATCATGCTATCGTCAACATTTGACTCCTTTATTTCCACAGCTTTAAACATTTCGCAGCGGTGTGTTTGTCCTTCTTCGGCACTTTCCCAACTAAAGTCTCAGAGGGAATTCGACCACCACAGCCTACAACATGTGCAGTCCGTACAGAGTAACACTAGTCCGGAGCTGTATAAAGTGTAATTACTCTCAGACAAATGACGTCTCACATCCACAACAGCGTTTTCAACTCACTCCACCTGCTTGCGGCACTGTTTGGCGCAACTGCTCATCCCCTCATCCACTTACCATGAAGTGACAAAGAACAGGCGACAGCATGACTTAAATGATGCGAATACGTCTCTTCTCAATTCTTAAGTCAACAATGTCATTTTACATGCCTAGCTATATAAACGGACTTTAATATCACGTAGATTGCGGGCAGATGGAATGGCTAAGTGCCTAAAAATGTGGTAAGTAAGCTGCAAAAGCCCGACCATGACTACGATAGGCGTAAGCGTCCTTTGATTACTCCCTGTAATTTTGTGAGCAAGTGAAATTTGTGTTTTTAATCTCATTGATAGGAGTTAGTCAGTGAAAAACGAGCCAAACGCATTCCTCCTAATTTTAAAATTCTTTCTAGTCGGTTCATTATAGTAAATTATGGTAAATGAATGACACTAAATATTTCTCAGCAAGACAACGATAAACTCTTTCAGGTGTGTATAGGCAACTGCCTTGTTGTTTGGCTCTGCATTACGTGACCTGGCTTTTTGCTAATGAAGAAGGCCTGCATCACCTCTACATTACCTTTCAACAGCTTAGTTCCTTCATTCCTAGTCATCAGAGATACAATCGTCACTATTGTCAGTACATCAATGCTGTCTTTTTTATTAATGCAAGTCAACAAAAGGGTCAAAAATCGTGTGCACTTGGTTCTTCTCCCTTCTTACCGCGTTGTTGTAGGGTGCGTTTAAAGCCATCACCGTGTAAAACTCATGCGCTAGTGGCAACGGATTTCCAAAAAAGGACAGCATTTGCTTGAAAATTTTGCTTTAAGCTGTGGTAAGGTTTTTGATTCTTTTAACAGATTCTGGTGTATTTAAGAACTGCTTTTCCTGATAGTATCAGTAAAGTTTTGTCCTCTTTCAAAGCAGATACAGTCACCAGAAAACGTATGCAAATCTGTCAGGCAGTAACTTCGTAAGTACTTTTTAGGTTGATCTTGAAGTACGCACACTAAATCCAGAAGACATTTTTTTGTATCAGCCAGTGTGTAAGCTCGAGCATTTGCCAATGGGTCAATGAAAAGTACTGTCAACTGGAGGAAAAGCCACATCTAGGTAGGAGACAGCCAAGTTTTATGACTCAGGAGAGGACAGGGTAGAGCCAATTAGCCTGCTCAAACAACTTGGAGTCGCTTATCCGATTTTAACTAAAAAAAGGGAGCGAGGGAGAAGGATACGATTTAACTGCGATTTTTTTAAAGGATAGAGAGTTGGGAATGAGCTATGCCACTCCTCCACCTCTACCTCTTTTTCTGCCTCTCTCTCTGCCTCTCCTATTCGATCACGAATGGTAATACGGAACAGAAGTAGTGCTTAGTTTGACATTTCCTTGGTTTAAATGCTGTCTTTAGGACCCTGACTTGATAGCCTGTTGGAAATGTCACCTTCATAGAAGGGAAAAGGTCAGTTAGATGCTTCAAAATGTTCTCTCAAAGTTCAGGCTCGAATCCGCTTGATTAATTGCACGTACTATCAAATCAACTTTATTACATTATGTCATATGGACAGTATTGCTATTTTCTCTTTGACTGTGTCGTAGTCTTTCAATCAGTTAGGACTTCAGAGTCTGCCAGCACCACTTTTCGCAGTTAAGTGTCTTTCAAATGAGTGATACGTACAATGATGATTTGCAATGCGATGAAATTTGTATGAAGTGAGGCAGTGTAGTAGATGTTTAACTGAGAAGTTAGGAGAAATAGGAGTGTCAGTCTAATATGCAATGTTCCGTGAGTTATGATTGACCCATAATCTTACCTTCATAATTTCCTCCTCTACTTTGATACCGACAGCATCTTGAGGCGGCCGACGTGATCCCTCTAGTGGTAATAAGAGTATAGTCAAAGTGAGCTATGAATGAAACTGTTAAAACGCATGAAGTTGGAACTATGTAAGAGTTGGATATTGACGTCCATTTAACTTCTTTCAAACGGGTGCAAGTGAATTATGTCTCTACGATTATGCCAGAATAGTCAAGTTAATGGTACTTGACGCTAGCTACAAGCACGCAAAAGTCAGTTTGCCTAGCTCTACTATTAAATGAATTCTGAGGAAAAGTATCGTTAAGCGTTGACCAATTGGCTCCCTTTCGACTCTTGCCGTCACGAATAGCAACGATCGGGATGGCAGAATAGAGCGGAGTATTTCATATCCCATAGGGCTTGATATAAGCGCAGCCTAGTTCATGTTTAACTAGGCGGTAGTCTTGTTTGATCTTGTAATTACATACAGCTAGTCAAAGCAGGAGATATGCTAACCTTCCTCGCCCCTTGTTTACATTGTAGTGGCAGTAATTAATACTACAGGTCCACTGTTGGAAAGGTTGCTTCCCACATCACTAAAATACTGCCATTCTTCACCTCCGTGGACATATTTATCTACGTGTTTCGTGATTAAGTACCCGTTCTGCACCCACATATATTTCAATTTTATTGGTTCGCTTGCCTTTTAATTTATGCCATGGTCCTATTTAATGTGACTTTTTCAAATGTGACGAGATGGAATGTTTAGTGGCGTTCAAAGCCATACCATGTTTTAGTAGACCCCTCAGTTATCATTTCTGAGGCTCACTTGTGTTGAGTGGGCCATACAGGGTTTGGTGATGCGACTAACTTAGGGAGATTTTCCAGTCTCAAATTCGGTAGGGACAATGACATACTGACCCCTGTAATTGACACCTCTGGAAAGAAGTGTATAGAGCACAACCTGGTTAACCCCCCTTGAGGGGTGACATCGTGACTCCACTTGATTCCAAACACTTTTAACAACGCTCGCAACGCATATTCATGTTGAAGTTGAGCCATGTCAGACACATGCACACATGGTGTCCACATGAACTCTTCCACTGTTATTATTATGATACGGTTTAAAGATGCGATAATGGAACTTCAAAGTACTTATTCAAAAGGTGTTGAAGTGTACACAAAATCTGCAATTTGCACAAGGAAGCAATCTGATGATTTACCGACAGGGCGAAAATGTCAGGCGACTGTAAATTTAGCTTTTTTGAATTAGAGAAAACACCAAACGGTTCAATTTGGGAGAACAAAAGCGGCGAAAAAGAGGTTTCTTTTATACTTAAAACACACCTGCATGAAATACAGATAGGTGAAAATATCATGAACAGATCACGACTAAGTGCAACTGTTTGAGAATGGTAAAAGTGTTGTTGATAAGATTGAGCAAAGCCACTGTGGCCCTGGAGCATTCTGAGGACATACCCTTGTGCTTATACCATCTACCTTTCACCCTCTGACAGCGATGTGATAGATTGCCTTGCTTATCTTGACAGGGGCATGTGCCTCAGTAATTTGACTTATCTGTAAAAAACAGGTAACAAAAATTATTCCTTGTAGTTGCTTGTCAATAAGGTGCGTTGGTAGATTGGCATAATTACGGGTATTTTTAAAGCACGTCCCCTCAACGCGCCGCAATTTATTCCCTATGGCAGTGGCACGGCATTTCCTGATTGCTCATTCCATTCGTTATCAAGCTCCACTTCTCTCCTCGCTAGGCTTAAATGAAGTCGCTTTCCTATTTGCTCATCTTAAAGCAAAATATTGGTGCTAAAAGCATTAGTTAGTTAGCCTTAACTAGGAAAGTGGGAGAGGACAGTGGTAGATCCCAATTTGCTACCCAAACAGTCTCACTTACATCGAAACACCGAGACTACTTTGAGAGTGCGCACTGCAACACTTCGAGTACAAACCGAATCTAATTCGTTTCGTACCACAGACTAACTTTGATAACATTTATAGGGTTCAGTGGATATTTTGTCCAATGAGGGTTCGAAATGAAAGGGAAATGGAAATAGCATACCCCATGACAGATTGCCGATAGACCGATGCTTTATAACAGCACCCGTTAACTCCATTTCGTACACCCTTGCAGGTTACAGGGGCATATTGAGAAGAGCTACATCGAAAGCCACAAGAATGTTATCAGCTATTGGATACAATTAAATTACCCACCATTTTGCAGCAGAAAACATCTTGTATCAGTAAGTGTATGTGATCGTGTCAGCGTTCGAGTCACCAGGTCTTGCTTACTAAGTTTTGGAAGTGAC